AGACTGAGCCTTTGTGTGTAGGCCCCAGACTGAGCCTTTGTGTGTAGAACCAGGCCGTTTTCGTTGGACTGGGCCTTTGTGTGTAGGCCCTGGGCTGAAGTTCCTGTATAGGAAATAAAAGCAAACTCCATTTGACTAGTCAGAGATAGTAAGAAGTGTCAATGCTAGAGTCAGAGATGATACAGTGTGGAGCTGGAGGAACACAACAGGCCAGGCAGCATCAGATTCTGAAGAAGGGTCCCGACCCAAAACGTCAGCTTTCCTGTTCCTCTGATGCTGCCTGGCATGCTGTGTTCCTCCAGCTCCACACCGTGTTATCCATTTAACTAGTGATGCAACTGTCAATAGCATAGTAATTCCTTGTATTTTGTGCAATTAATTATGGTTTTGCAAAAATAAATATAAACAGGGGATTTAGAATCTTCTTAGTTCAAGGAACTGACTCCAACCTGGCCGGCCACAGCCAGTGTACTATGCACATATAAATAAATGCTGACGTGGTGACGGGATACCAGCCTCTGTACAGTTATTTCAGTTTATATAATAAAGTATTGCAGCTCTTAAGGGCTTTGTTCCTTTTTCTTTTGCAGATGGATCTGTGATTGTATCGTTTATGAGCATTTCATGGGCGACTTTGGATTACTACGCAGCACTGAAAAGATCTTTGCCCAATCCAAATCTAACTTGTGGATTCCCCTATGTGTTTTACTTTCTTTATAAGCTGTTGACAATTAGTGCCACGATTTTGACCATAACTCTACTGGCTACTCTACACATCTTAGCTGTTGCTGCTTACTTACTACTTCTGTGGTCAGTCATGATGGTCTATGTCGTGAGACAGAAGACTGCATTTTGTAAATCCAAATGTCAAGAAATTATTTATAGAATGGTCATTGGTATCATCTTAATTTTCACCTTTTTCAATATAAAAGGTCAGAAAATAAGATGGGCTTTGATTCTGTATTATATATTTAAAGTCTTTAAAACTATTGTCATAATAATTTTATGTTGGATACTGAAGGGTTCTTCACTTGACAAAGGCAACGATTTATCAATTAGCATAAGTATAATGCTAGCATTAATTATCGGGATTGTTTGCGTTGTGATGTACTATAGATGTTTTCACCCTCAAGTTTATTCAAAGGCTGCAACTGATGAAGACTGTAATAATTCTCACACCGAATCACAATTACCTGCACCTCAAGATGAAGTTGATGGATTCCTGCCTCAAAATTCAACAGTTACACCTAACAATGTGGGCGAAAATAGGGATGTAATTCACTCATCAGTCTCTCAATCCCAAAATGTGAACAGTAGAATCATGTATTGTTTAACAGAATAATTAAATGAGGATTGGGCATAGTCTGAATTAACACTTTCCATGGATGGGGAGCATTATAATGTGGGACTTGAAAGGATCCTTTTTTTAATGCACATTCCATAAGTGGTGGTTATTGTTCACAGTCGGGAAGCTATATTTTTACAGTTAGTTGATGAATTGTTAAAATGAAGCTTTGCTTGTGATTTAAGGTGTATATTAAGATGGTTTGTGTCACCACTCAGAAGTAACAGTAAGTTTACTTGGTAGCGCTGACTGATGTTCCTCCCCTCTCAAGCAATACAAGAACAACTTAAAATAACCACTCATCTAATCTCATCGGATTTTTGTTAAGTAAAATAATAGCATTAGCCTGAGTAACCAGCAGCACATTTGAGAAAGTTAAGTGCTTGAGTGCAAAGGGCTTGGAGACATGACAAGGATCTAAGCTCACATTTCTCACAAGTAAATACAATGCTATTTGCTGTAATTAATGTAATTGCTTAAGCATATCCTTGGATGTCTCTATGTATTTATGAGCTAAAACAGTTTGGTTGCAGCTAACTAGAAAGACAAGGTCCATATGTTCAGTAAATGCTAATGATGCAATATACAAATATTTGAGCAATATTGGTATTGGGTTAATTGCCCTTTAGTAAATTATATGATAATCATTTTGGAAAACAAACATCCTGACAGAATGAATTCGATGATTTCACATTCATGTGCAACTTTCAGTTTACAACTAAACCTTATGCAAGTAATAATTTATCCAGTGCTAAAAAAAGGTATGCCAGATATACAAAAAAAATTCAAGAAGTCACATGACAAATAAGGAGTTGATACATTTAGCTATATTATTCAAGGAAAGAGATCACCACAATTCATATAATCTGCTCAGCAGAAAGCAATATCTGGGTTAAGAAAATCCAAACAATCTATCAATTTCTCATCCACCATTCAATTAAATATTAACAGGAGCCATTTTGAAGCTAGATCACAGTCACTTTTTATTGCTTTGTTCACTTTGTAATGAAACATGTCTGACCGAGACAGAAACAGAAATTGCTGGAAATGGTCTGCAGGTTTCGCAGCATCTGTGGAGAGAAATCAGAGTTAACGTTTCGGGTCCAGTGACCCTTCCGCAGAACTGTGATAATATGTCACTGTTTATTGATACCAAAAATACAATGGAGGAGAGAAGTTGCACACATATAATACCTTTGCTGGCCTTAGGATGTCCTAATGTGCTTCATGGACATATTTAACTCAACTTATTTCAATGCAGTCAGGAAATGATAGTTACTTAACATTCTGCAAGGGTTTACAAACAACAGTGAGATAAACGTTGATTGGTTGAAAATACCCAGGATACCTCCCAAGGGATCTTGTGGCGGTGTTCATATCCCTGCCTATGGGGCCAGGATTCCCATTTCAAATCCCATGTACTCCAGTGGCCTGTAACAATGTCTTTGAACAGATTGTCTGGAAAATATGTACAGGACATCTAAATAATGTCATGAAATCATTTACATCAACCAGAAACTGGTTTAACATCTCATCCAAGGATTGGCCCCACCCTGTGCTAACCTGGGATGACAACCAAAATGATGTGCTCTGGAGTAAAACTGAAAACATACTCTAGAAACAAAGACAAGTTTGGTTCCAGTGAGCTGCAACTGATTTCTAAGCAATCTAGTGACCAGTCAAATCAAACCCAGGCAAGGTAATGCCGGTTTATATTTACTAAATCCTTCTCCCCCACAATTAAACACGGATCCTGAAGCCTGTGACACTGTTTCACTGGTACTATGGGTTTTCAAACAGGAGTTCCTGACATCTCCTGATTGCTATATTTTCAGTATTTGTTCTTGCCATCTTCTGTTGTTTTGAATAAAACATGTTTTTTATTGAAACATTGTGCCAAACAATTTCTTTAGGGTCAGTGAAATTATTGTTTAGAACTTCATACAGAAAGTCTCAGGGTGTGGTCACTTTTTGTAGGGGTTCTACCACAGGGAATGTCTTGGAAATGATCTTAAGAAATGAATTTTGCAGATGGTTACAGAACATTCTGAAGGGGCAGGGTGAGCAGCCAGAGGCCATTGTGCACATTGGTACAAATGACATAGGGAAACAAAGGACTAAAAACAAAGTTGCTGGAAAAGCTCAGCAGGTCTGGCAGCATCTCTGAAGGTAAAAACAGAGTTAACATTTCGGGTCCATTGACCCTTCCTCAGAACCCAGTTCTTGTTTTTGTTCCTGATTTACAGTACCTGCAGTTCTTTCAGTTTTTATTTAGGGAGACAAAGGGATGGGGTCCTGCGAAATGAGTATAGGGAGTTAGGTAAGAAGTTAAAAAGCAAGACCTCAAGGGTAGTGATTCCCGATTATTCCCAGTGCTGTGCGCCAGTGAGGATAGAAATAGAAAGGTAGGCCAGAAAGGCTGAGGAGCTGGTGTAGGGGGCAGGGTTTTAAGTTCTTGGATCATTGGGATTTCTTCTGGGGTAGAGGTGACCTGTACAGGAGGGACAGGTTGCACTTGAACCAGGGGGTCCAATATCCTCGTGGGGAGATTTGCTAGTGTTACCCTGGAGGGTTTAAACTAGTTTGGCAGGGGGTGGGAGTCTGAGTAGGAGAGGGACCATGGAGAAGACAGGGGAAAATACGTTAGCCATCGAGAGCAAGTTTACTATTCAGGATAGCCATGAGCACAGTAAAGGGAGGGAAAAGACGTCTGGTTTAAAGTGCATTTATTTCAAAGCATGAAGCCTGACTGGTAAGGTAGGTGAGCTCAAAGCATGGATTGGCTCTGGGGACTGGGATATTATAGCCATAACAGAAACGTGGCAGAGAGAAGGGCAGGACTAGCAGCTCAATGTTCCAGGATACAGAAGCTACAGGTGTGACAGAAGTACAAGTGAGTGAAGAGGGGGAGTTGCCTTTTTGATAAGGGAGGACATAACAACAGTGCTTAGAGAGGGTACTCTTGAAGGTTCATCAAGTGAGGCCATATAGTTAGAACTTAGAAACAAGAAGGGGATGGTCACTCTGTGGGGACTGTATTATAGATCCCCAAATAGCCAGAGGGTACGAGAGCAGCAGATGTGTAGAGATTGCAGATACCTGGAGGAATAACAGAGTAGTATTGGTTGGAGATTTTAATTTTCCCTGTATTGACTGGGCCACCCAGATGGGGTGGAATTTGTCAAATGTGTCCAAGAAAGTTTCCTAAATCAATATGTAGAGGTCCCTACTTGGGAGGGTGCAACACTGGACCTCCTCTTAGGAATCAAGGTCAGGCAAGTGACTGAAGTGTCAGTCGGAGAGCACTTTGGGTCCAGTGACCATAACTCTCTTAGTTTGAACACAGTTATGGCAAAAGATAGAACAGGTCCACAGGTTAAGGTGCTGAACTGGAGCAGGGCCAATTTTGAGGACATGCGGCAGGATCTAACAGAGGTCGATTGGGTGAGTCTGTTTGAAGGAAAAGGAATGACTGGCAAATGGGAGGCTTTTAAAACTGTGATATCAAGAGTCCAAGGACAGTATGTCCCTGTTGGGGTGAAGGGAAAAGCTGGCAGGTTTAGGGATCCCTGGCTGATGAGGGATATTGAGGTTCTGGTCAGGAAAAAGAAGGCATACATTGCGTTTCAGCTAATCGGGCTCAAGTGAATCTCTAGTTGACTATAAAATGTGTAGGAGCACACTTAAGAAGGAAATCAGAAGAGCAAAAAGAGGGT